CATGTACGTCCTTTGTGCCTGCCATCTGAGTGGAGTTAGTAAAGGGACAAAAAGACTACCAGACTGCAAGCTGGAGAACATTCACAATGAAGGCTGCTGCTTTGGAGTTTAGAAGGGCATAATTTTAACAAAAGCGTGAAGCTATTTTTACTTGCAGCCTCACTCATCCTCAGCTGTTAGACTTTTTTTAAAAGGTGGCTGCAAATTTAATTTTGCAATTTTGACATTTTTAAATTATTATTATTTTAGCAATATGAATTATTTGTGTTCCTGACAGAATTTTCTAACTGTTCAGGTCGATTTTGTCTGTAAAGGATCTACTCTAATTCTTCAAACTGAAATCAGTGTGTGCTTTGATGGCTTTGGGAGTCTAGTCAGCTGTTACGTACACTCCTACTAGATTAGTCATGATCAATAGAGCTTTTGAGTTACCGTCAGGTAACCTTTTTAGACAGGATGGTTTGATCTAATGTTTTCTCAGCGCATGGATATTTAGTGTTTTGTACTTTTCTAGTACAAAGAGAACAAAACCATAGCTTGTCTTGATTCTTAACTATGTATTTCAATCTGTCTTTGCTAGATCGAGCAGGTGAAAGCATGCCCCAGTCTAAGCAGACCTGGCTGGTTGTCTAGGTGGCACTGTTGGAGCACCAGCCACTACTAGAGTAAACCCCAAGGAGGGTCTCTGTAAAGGTTGACTTAATGCATGTCTTCAAGTATTGTAGTCAAGGTGAAATTTCATGGTGAAACTTTCCTGACTCACCATGAGCTGAAGAAGCCTTTCAAAAATGATGACAGCAAGCAATATGCCAACTGTTTTAGCCACCTCATTGTGGCTACTGGCAAAATACTAGGGAGCTGCTATTTTGGAGTTGCTTGTAGATGGCAGTTGTTTGGGGCTGAGCATTTAGTCACTTGTGGGTTTAAATGTTTATAGAGTCCCCTGGCAGGCAGCTGATCTGGAATGTGGTAATGCCAAGCTCTTCCCTAGCACGCATTGCCCATAATCTCAAAGGACCATACCAAATGTGTATTCGTTTAGTCTATTACCAGTAGACTAAGCTGCAGCAAGGCTGTTTGCTCAAGTACACACAAGGTTCATGCTGGTTCTGCTATTAGCACTACTTGTCCTTCCTCCCAGGCTGTTGCTTGAACAACCCTACCATTGAACCATCTATTCTTGGCCTTAATGCAAAGGGAAATATTAAACTGACTGGTTAGGAGACTCTTGCAGAAAAATGCCTAGTACTGGAGTATCTGGTTGCATAACCTTAGAAGCACGAGGAAGCCATGTTTTTGTTTGATGGATCCCACAGAGAGAAGCCCTAGGCGGTTCTGGAGTTGTGAAGATGAAAGCAAATCTGTTCTCAGTGGTGTGAGCACAACAGGTACCTCCTGGAAGCGTGACTCTAAAAAGCCTCAAAAAGCCTGGAGGAGCAAATGTGACCTTGTGCATTCACGCGTCTGTGTAGGCCAGGAGTTGTGTGTGGCTGAAGCACAGAGCTATGGTCGGTTGCAGAACTGGACTGATGTTTGCAGTTCTGCTTCCAGCCATGTTACTGACTCATGCTGCAAACAGGGACAAAGCTCATTTTTTCCACAAGCCCAGTGCCTTGACCTCCTTGTGACATTGCCGTTCCACACCTTTTGGAAATGTGGCCAGAACAGTTACAAGGGCTACTCTTTCAGGATGCACTTGTTAAATGTATTGCCCTTGAGAGGCACATGCTGTCCTTTTTCAAGACAGCTTAACTCTGAAATTACTTAGCTCATTTGAGCTTTGCTCTTTCTGTAACTCAGGTTGTCCGTGTGTCTAATAAAAAGAAAAAGACTTACCTAATGTCTGTAAATTGCTTTGATATTTGGGTTAAAGGTGCTGGAAAAAAAATGCAGGATTAGTAAGAGAGGGCATTTCAAAGGCACTAGTAGGAGTCGGATAGCTAACTCCCCTTTGTGCCGTGTAAAATGTGTTCTGCGAATACTACCAATTCACACATTACTGTGGACATCCAAGGTGAGTGGAAAAAGTAACTGTGCATTTCCACAACTTCTTTTTGTTTTTTACTGTCCTGTTCTTATCAATACTAGGAAACAATGAATCAAATGTATTTATTTATAACAGTAAATCTCAATGAAGCTGTCTTGGTATAAATCAGGTTACTGTATGCCTTTAGGAGGTTGTGATCAGTGCAGAGAGAAAGGTAGCAGGTACTGGAAGCGTAATGTCTTAGTTTGATACAGCACCTCCTGGATGTTGAGGGAAGTGCACGGGGTTCTGGATGTAATTTTGTCTTCTGCTTGCACTTTCCTCCTGCTGTTGGCCAGTGAGAAGGCCCTTTGAAGCCACTTAGCCCTTGTCTTTGCAGCAGGGATTCAGTATTTCTGTGGGCATGAAATGTGATCTGAGGTTGGACTGTATCCTGCATTCTTCGGGAGGGAGGAAAAGGACTTCAGGTCTCCCATCTATCCTCTACTGCCTGTTCGCAGAGGCAGGCATCTGTGTGGCTATGTTTCAGAAGTGTTCCTCTTTTTATAAATATCTCATTCAATAAACAAAACAAGCAGCTGCAGTGTGGTTCGATTATCTGAGCTGTGGATCGCAGCAGGAAATGCTAGGAAGTGGCTGGTCTCGTTGCAAATCGCTGGTATATGTACCAGTGGTGAGAAGGTGCAAATGGGCAGCGAGACTGCAGAATGGGCACAGAGAGCTGCACCTTGCGGGAACGTGAAGCGTAGAGTCAGACGCTTCAGGTCAGGGAAGGAGTTGCATAAGTTGAAAGCAGAATAATGTTTTGTAGCTCCACAGGGGCTTTTTTCACCATGTCTGAATGAACATCCCTGTTTGTTAACTAAGAAAACCTAAATTCATATGAGCTAATGGATTGCTGTTGCCTGGACAGTAATGAGTAGAAAGGAACTGAGTGGACACAGTAAGGAGTTAAAGGGCTTTGTGGGAGACTGGAATATAAGATTGAACAATTTCTGGTTAAAAAGTACAGAGCTGAAAGCCACGGAGGCTGTACTCACAGAAATAACAACATAGTGGTTGTGGAGTGAACCAGGCCTGTATTCCCACTCCGTCTAAACCCAGAACAGTTAGTGTTGAGATGGATCATTTATTCTCCACATGCCATCGGTCTTCTCTGCCGTGACTGTCAGCAGTGATGGCTATAGTATAGTGGTGGGACTCCAGACATTGAGGCGAAACTTCTGGTCCTGCATGAGCTCCTGAGCAGCAAGCTGATAGCAGCACCTTGCGCCAGAACGAGCTGGATTTGCTTTGAAGCGGTGGCTGAGAGATGCAAGACTTTCTAGGTGCTCCATGTCCCATTTCTTTTTGGACACGTCACCTAGTCTGCCTGAAGAGTTTTCTGCTTTGGTACATTTAGTTATTTGCTCATGTTGTACAAACCTCTCCTTCCCTTTGCTGGCGGTGAGGGTGCTAATTACGTTACGTTCTGCAGGTGCCTCTATCAGCCTCAGTCTAGTTCCCTGCCGCACGGCCGTTATAATGTTGTGGTTCGTAATGGAAGTAATTACCTTTTCTTGCTGCAGCACCAAGTTTGTCTTTTCCATTTGCCAGAGATTGGGGTCAGGGTGGGGAGCTGCACATGTAATCTCCTGCAAATACTCATAAATGAAGGTAGCTCCTTTTGCTTCTGTATGTATGTGGATGTAAATCCACGCTGTCTGCACTGCCATCATTAAATGTCAGCAGCACGGTTTTGGGGAATAACACGCATTACCTTCCAGGAAGCATATGATAATGATTTTTTTTTATGCTCCTGTAAAATTGTGGCTATGTTTATTTACAAAGGGGTATAATTTGTGCTGTGATTGGAGTACAGGCTTAGAATATGGAAGAATTTTCCCATCAGATCAGATGAAATTTCAGTCTTAAATTTCTTGGTAGACGTTTTCAGAAATAAAAACCTAACAGTGACAATTATGAAACTAATGCAACGTTCACAAATTGCCCTTTAACTCTATTTGACTGCCCTTACTTAGCTGCTGTCTGTATGCTGACTTACTTATTTGGTTGCAAGTTAAACTACTTCAAAGAAAGTGCCAGTAACTAGTTTAGGCAAGAAAAAGAAGTACTACATTACTTGATGGTAAATGGAGTAGTTTCTAGCGATAGAGTATGGTTTTCTGCAGCAAAGGCAAAACTAATTGCTTAATGTCTTTAAAATGCTCATGTAATCTCCTGCAAATACTCATAAATGAAGGTAGCTCCTTTTGCTTCTGTATGTATGTGGATGTAAATCCACGCTGTCTGCACTGCCATCATTAAATGTCAGCAGCACGGTTTTGGGGAATAACACGCATTACCTTCCAGGAAGCATATGATAATGATTTTTTTTTATGCTCCTGTAAAATTGTGGCTATGTTTATTTACAAAGGGGTATAATTTGTGCTGTGATTGGATACAGGCTTAGAATATGGAAGAAATTTTCCATCAGATCAGATGAAATTTCAGTCCTTAATTTCTTGGTAGACGTTTTCAGAAATAAAAACCTAACAGTGACAATTATGAAACTAACGCAACGTTCACAAATTGCCCTTTAACTCTATTTGACTGCCCTTACTTAGCTGCTGTCTGTATGCTGACTGACTTATTTGGTTGCAAGTTAAACTACTTCAAAGAAAGTGCCAGTAACTAGTTTAGGCAAGAAAAAGAAGTACTACATTACTTGATGGTAAATGGAGTAGTTTCTAGCGATAGAGTATGGTTTTCTGCAGCAAAGGCAAAACTAATTGCTTAATGTCTTTAAAATGCTATGAAGGAGTAAAGTGTTATACTTAATAAATATGCTCAGATCATGACTGATTTGTTAGCATAAGATTAAGTGTTTTTGGCACTTTCTGTAATGGTACTCATGCACATATCATGGAGTTGCTGTCAGATTTTCACCACCATAAAACCCTGAGTCTCCCCACTTGTGTGTCACTTCCATTTCCTCCCTTGGCACATTTCTGAGAAGACCCTTGGAAACTTCATGGACCTTTTGAAAATTAAACCCGTCACCCTAAAAGCTGTTCGGCCCTTGGCTGCAGCACCGGGCAGCACGTCACCCGTGCAGTGCTTGCCTGCAAGTGGACAGGCTGTGAGCTCTCTGGCTCCCTGGGCAGCCGGGTGCATCGCTGGTGCTGCTCGCCCCCACCACACACGCACACTTCCTTCCTTCCACCCACTTCCCCCTCCCCTGCCTTGGTTTCACACCTCTTCCAAAGTTCATGTTGTCTCTCTCTTTCTCTCTCCCCCCCCCTGCCCCCCGCTTTCTTTTTAACAGCAGGAAAGAATTTCGTACACACCTCCAGTGAGCCCGGTACCAAATTACACTTCCTCGTCACCACTACATGTCCCAGTGCCTCGAGCGATCAGGATGGAGGAAGACACGATCAGACTGCCGGCACACCTGCGTGAGTGTCAGCACGGAGGCTTCTTACATTCTTGGATTGAGGAGGGTGTGGGGCGGGGTGAAGAGGTGTTTCTATTTTTATGGAAGAGGGCAGGGAAGCCCCTGGCTTTAGACTTTTTTTTTTAAAGCTCTAACTGGTTTCATTTTTCTAAATATTCTTTTTAACCAAAGGAAATTACTCTTAAATACAGTACAATATATCCCCACCCCCTGTCAAGGATTTGGCTTATTTCTCATGACAGGCACAAATGTGGAGGTTTTATTTTGACGGGAAATGCTATGTTTCCTTCCACAGTATAGGAGTTGCTCAGTGATGTGCTGTGACACAAGGTCAGAGTTTCACAAACTGTGGCAAGTGGAGTGCATTTGTGCTGTGGGTATTTTTCAGGTTGTTACAGGTCTCAATATTAAATACTCCTGGTGCCCAGGCTCTCTACCACAGAGCGTGTGTGCTGACAGAGGCAGGGGGAAAGGAGGAAGAATGAGCTTAGCTGTGCACAAAAGGATGCTGCAGAGGAGGAAGGGCATATCACTGACATTGGAACAAAAACTGGAGCTGGGGGCAAGGCGAGAGCCAGGCGCTTCCTTGCTGAGATGATTTAATGTTTGAGGAATAGGAAAGGCCAAGGGCTGTTGGCCAGCGAGAGGTGAATTAGTGAGATAAAATGGGGACAAGGAAGAGTGGAATTTTCCTTTTTGGAGGGGAAGCAGTTCTGATGTAAATCGAGAGGGTTTTAAGTAAACTTTTGTCAGGTGTTACATCCCTGGGGTACTTGACTGACAACGAGCAACAGGGCCAGGAGCAAATGTAACTTTGTGCATTGCCATCTGACAAATGGGTTTGGGATTTCAGAGGGAGGGGAAAAAAAAGTCCATGTTTATCACAAGACATTCTTACTCCTGTCCTCAGCTGTCTTCCAGGCACTCTCCTTTTCTGGATGCAAACTGTGCTCCCAATGCTCCTATAATTCTGCGCTCGCTCCCTTGCTGGCCACCAAGTTGCGCTGCCCCAAGGTCACTCATTGCCCACACTGTGTTCTGCACAGTCCTGTTTTTGCCTGCTGCTGCCTCTTACTCTCTTCTGCCTGTGCTGTAGTGTAGCCCAGGTTGTACCTTTTCTGTGCTTTCTGATGGCAATGGGAGCTGGTGCTGCAGCATTTCTGACCGTCTGGTCGCTGCCTGAATATCCCCGAGCTCCCAGGCCCTCCTTGCCTCTGTGTGTGGCCGCTGGCCTGTTTCCCCAGCCCAGGAGGACTTGCTCTGCCACACTTACAAGGCATTTCTATGCTTTGCCCAAAACTTAGACACAAAGAAACCAACACAGAAGCAGTTCTTCTCCACTGTGGTTTTTAATCTTTTTTTTTCCCCATTGCATTAGTTGGTACTATTTGTTTATGCTGTGGGAGCCACTGTCTGTTCTCTCCACAGCTAGGATCACGACTGGCTTTCCAATTACTCACTGCCTTCCCCACTGGGTCTGACAGATGCACAAGGCAGGAAGGCAGAGACCCTTGATACTGACAGGGGTGAGGCACCGTGTGTGCTACCTGTTTCCTTCCCATCAGCTAGCTAGGATGCTACGTAGTGTGAAGCTTATAAGGCTTCCTCTCAGTGAAAACTTTTTATCTCATGTTTTTAGGTGTGATCCAACCTTTCACCTTGATTTCTGTTTTGTTTTTTCTTTTCATTTGATTGGCACATTTTTAAACTTGCAAGGAGGCTTCTTTCCCATTAGTATTTCCACACCAGTCTGACTTGTTGTAGTGTAAAAACACAGACGATTAATCATTAAATATCTGTGGAATAGTCTTCCACAAAGTTAGTGTCTCAGGTCGTAAACATGGAACATGTTTACATGGCCTTACTAGTTGTAGTCCCTGGCAGTATAGTACTCTGTAGCTCAGTATGTAGTCAATATTGACCCAAACACTTGTCACCAACCAACTGACCCAAACACTGTTAGAACCACTGTTCTAACTGTTCTATCCAGTATATAAATTCATAGCTAGGCCAGAAGGGACCATTATGAATTCCTAAAATGATCTGTGGTATAACTTGAGTTACAGAACTTCACTCAGTAACTCCTGTGTTTAAGTCCAGTAACTGTTTGAGCTATAGCATGTTATGCAGAAAGATTTCTGCTCTTCATGTAAAGACGTCAGTGATGGGGAGGATATAAGGTCTCTAGATGTTCTTTTAATGCTTAATTATCCTCCTTATTTCCTTTTTTTTTAAGTGCCCTATTTATAGTTTGAATTAGTCAAGCTTCAGTTTCTAACTATTAGATCTCATTATCTCCTTTCCTGCTAAATATTGTCAAAAGACTACTCCTGATATAGGTGCTTTTAGATAAAGTCACTTCTTAACCTTTTCTTGGCTAAACTGTATAGGAAGAGAGGTTCTTAAGGCTGTCAATCTTTCTGTAAAGCTTCCAGATTTCAAATTCTGTTTGTATCATCTCTGTGAACTGTTTCCCACTTCAGACATCCTTCTTAAAGTGAGGACAACAGAACTGAAGATCATATTTCAGGAGTAGTCATCCTAATACCAGGTATAGAAATAACTAAGTGCTTTTTGGATCTCAGGTCATGAGGTTTAATAGGTATTAACATGGGATTTTGCAATTCCCTCATGGACTCCTCTCTTTTTTTTTTTTTTTTTTCTTTTTTGAGATGTGTCTAAGAGATGGCTTTGGTCCTAAATCCAAACTGCCTTAGAAGTCAGGCGAAGTAGCTAATTTCTAGTTCAAGCTGTGGTACTGTGTGTGAAGATTGGGTTTCGATCTGTAAAGTCTGAGGGTTTTCTAGGTCTGAGATTTTGTTTGGTTCCAGCCTTGTTGTTTTTGTTGATAAGGTGAAGGGTAATAACTTCTCTCAACCCTCACTCATTCCAGTGCAACAGGGAGATATGGTAAGTTTCTCCAGTCATACACAGAGCTGATACCTTGTCAGGCCTCCATTCATTCTCTGTTTCCGTGACGTTCTGATGGCATTTACCAAAATAAAGGCAGAATTCAGTCCTAAACTGTACATCTTCATTTATGCCAGCCTGCAAGTTCAAGAGCTATGCTCTTGAGGTGCTGCTGAGCCTCAGGTTCACCTGGTGCAGCAGCACCAACTGCTGCTCACAGGTGCAGCTGAAAACAGCAGTTGGCCCAAGCGAAAGTAGAACTAGAGACAAACTTTTCAGATGGAACGTGAAGTGCACTCTGTGGATTCAGACCGTGTTTTATGCCTTCCTATTAGAAATTTCACTGTTTCTAATGTTTAAGAGCACTCTGAAGGTGCTAACAGCCAACAGTATCAAGAAAATTAGTAGAGCAATTTCCTCTGGTGCAATAAATTATTTCTAACTGTTTGGTGAGCAAATGGGTCTTAGCTATGCTGAGCTGACTTGATCCAGCTGACTGGAAAAGGGAGAAGTGCAAAGTTTAGAAGGGTGGAATGATGATCCCTCTTTGCTACAAGCATGCAGAGGACGACTCCTTCTCTTTGGTCAACACAGCTGGAAATACAGAGAAACCCCTTTTCTTGGGGGTGATATGAAGGCACTTTCCCCTTCTCACACAGCCTTTCTTGTTTTAATTAGCTGCTGTCTTCCCAGCCTGCCCTATTCCTATAGTATAGAAGTAGTATGTATTCAGTCTTAACTTTAAAGCTCTGGGAGAGTGAGAATCATTTTCTGGTAATACACACCTTTCTCTGACGCTGGACTTCTTTGTAAGGGACTTTTGGCCCATACTTTTAAACATACTTGTTTGCCTAACATCCACTTCTTACCTAGTAACTGTGTATTGGGGGTGTTGTAAACAAACTATCAGCGGGGAGCTGGAGAATATGTTTTCCTCTATTTTAGGTATGTAGTCAGAATGTACAGTGATCCCCAGTTTGCTCCTTGTCCCTAGTGCGTATGCTGTGCGTATGACAACCCTTTGTCCCTGGTGTGTATGCTGTGGTAGCTTTGCAGCATATCTGATCTCCACTAGACTGCACTAATGTCAGATAGAAGGATTGTTTGGAAAATGGAGATGTTTACCGAGGATTCAAGAGAAGCAAGTTCAGCTCTCACACAAGGCTCTGCCCTTGGTGCCTTCTGTGACCTTGGACATCTTGTTTTGGTTTCCCCACTGTAAAATGAAAAAAACATGAGTGCAAAGACTCTTAAAAGTTGTGAAAATTAGTACAGTGACTGCCCAGATACTGTGATAATGAAGAATGCTGAGATAGGTGGAAGTCCCGAATCTATTTGCATACCCCTTATCTCTGAGAAAACTTACTCCATATTACCGCAGAGAGAAAGTTCTCACTTATTGGTTTTAATTAAAAAAAAAAAAAAAAAAAAAAAAACAACAAAAAAAAAACTTTGTCTTATCTGGTACAATGTCATTAGTTACTCATTTTGTGCTATGGCCAATACCTTGTGGTAAAAAGTTCTTGGAACTGGATAGAGGATACAGCATTTAAGAGATGGATATGAGAACCCTTTCCTGTGACTATTAATATGCTCTGAATCAGAGAGAAAATAGCTTTTTCCTTTTTTGTAATATGCAAGATGAAAATAAGGTGATTTGCCTTCTACAACAGCAACTGTAAATATGTGCTAAAGGCTTCCTGGTTTTCTTTGTCTCCTTCAACGTAAAACTTCTTCAACAAAAGACACAGAAATACCAGTGCTGAAAAAGGACTTGTTGCATGCTCTAATCCTGTGCAGCAGCATTCCCCCTTGCACGTTTCTGTCAATTTGTACAGTCTGATTTTTATCTCTGAAGGGCATCTTCCCTTGGGAAAGCGTGTGTGTTTGTTTAGGGAGATGGACCTCATCGGTGAAGATTTCACAGTGTTTTCTATTGATACAAGCATGAACAAGAATTCATTTTTTCCTCTGAACTAATTACTCTTCTTTCTTTAGTGTTGGCATCCTTCGTATGCCTGCAGCCCATTGTCATAGCAAGGTACCCTGCACATACTTTTCTGTACTTTTGTGTATACATGAAGCAATTAT